CTACCTATTCTTCTTCTTCTTTTTCTACTCCTCCTCTCCCTTCTTGTTTTAACTCCTAAAACTATGGCTTGTTCCCTTTTTAAGCTATATTATTACATCTGCTCTTCCTGGAAGCAGTTTCTTCCTCTCTATTCTGTTTAATTATCATTTTTACCCTTGCTACACTTCTCATCATTCATGGAAAAATATGATGTGTTGCTTTTTCATGAATTCTTATGGGATGTCTACACATTTGCATACTCAGTTGAAGTATATGATTTTGGACCATTTACTTTGCGTTAGCTGGTTCAGGTTACGAGTATGATGTTGTGAATTTTCCTAATGTGGGTATATTGGTTCTAATGGGTTTAGAATTTCTAAGTGAACATCTAAATGTCAGTCTCATTTTCCTTTGGTTTCGTTCCTCCATATCAAATTTTCAGAGTTGTGATTGAGAGCAATCTTGTTTTGTGCAATGAACATTCTGTTGGGGTTTTGTTATAGAAGTTTAGTTGCTTCCTGTGAGCTTTTTGGGAATACAAGTTCTTTCAAGTTACCTTGCTTGTCGTATAAGCTCAGAAGATGTATTTTGTTCTTCTCTTCCATCTTTGTAAGTTTCTTTCCGATTAATGGGTGGTGTATTTGGAAGGTGACTGTAATATAGCCCACACCAAGTTGAAAGTAGTGAAAGGTACTGATTTGATGCACAATTCAATCAATCTGAATCTTTCAGCTTGTTTTCTCATTTCCGCTTAACAAATGTTTAAAGTTCGAAAGCTACTCCCTGGTTTGCATGTATAGTACTAATATACTGTAGCAAAATTGGCGGAGAAAATTATGTACAGGTTGAAATTTGTGGGGTTTACTTTCAGCTTAAGAGTCTTATAATGGATTTTGCAGGGCCAGAATGGAAGCCATTTTGAACCAAGGCCTGTTCCTCCGCCACTACCAAATAAGTGTGACTGGGAGATTGAACCTTCTGAGTTGGACTTTAAAAATTCAGCTACTATAGGAAAGGTGTGGGTTCAAATGATTCTGTAATCCATTTAACTTTTATGATGAAGTGCTCAGTCCTGCTAAACTGCTTGTATACATGCATTTAGTTGTATGATTGATTTCTTTCTTTTTGTATCTAATATCTTATTGAACTAATGTGATTTGACATTCATACTGGTTTCAAGATAACTCACTAATTGAATGATCACTCATAACTGATGGTCAGGAGAGAGAGAGAGAGAGAGTGTGTTGTGATCACTCAATGCTGATCACATGCTTTAGGCAGGAAAGAGTTGTTAACAGTCATTCTTAAAGAGTTAAATCTACTTTATTTAAAATAATAAAAAAAAAAGAGAAGAGACTTAATTCCATTTCCTCCAATTATATGCAGTAGCCTTTAGTTTGAGGTACATGTTCTCCTGTACTTTTCTGTTTGTCTGATTGCTAACAAACTTGAGGGATGATGATCGAATCATCTTACTTAGCTTTTGGCATTTTTTGCCTTTGCTAATTTTTTCTCTTGGACGGGGGTTGTTTGGGGGAGAATAGCGGGGGCAAAACAGATACAGGTCACCAATTCCTTTTGCTTTAAGTAGCTCATGTCTTGTTGTAGATAGTTCAATGAAATGCATCTTATGCTGCTTATAATTGACTGTTAGGAAATATGCTAATGTTAATTTGCTACTTTGTTGATATTGAAAAGTTCATTTCTGATTAATGAGAAATCCTTAGGGGTCCTTTGGGGAGATACTAAAAGCCTGTTGGCGTGGAACACCCGTAGCTGTTAAACGAATTCTTCCAAACCTCTCAGATGATAGATTGGTGATGTAAGTTTCTCAACTGCAAGGTCAATTGTAACATTTTTGCCATAAAGGTATTTTAATCTGCTTAAGTTGTATGATAGTCAATTTGTTATTAAGTTCTTCTGATTCTTTCTCAGTGAATGTGTGCTTGATTAATTATCTAAGATGAATCATACCTCGACTCAAGAAGCATTTTTTTGTTTTATTTTAGATTTTTTTAGTAACATGAGTCTCTTTAAACCTCATGAAGGATAATGGCTATGGGGTAGAGGTGTCCTATGCCGGTTTGGCTTAGTTTTAAGATCTTAACAATCCAGGCTATTTCATTGATTGGTAATGCTAATTGGTTTTGCCTCGGTTACTTCTCTTTAGTGGAACAAAGGTAAAGACTTCATTTTTTTTTTCTTGGAAACCCTTTCCAATAACTTTATACAGAAGTGCAGCTTGTAAATTATGGAAGTTGTTCAATTATAAGTGAATAAAGCTGGCTGCAGTTTAAACTTGTTGATAAGTTTCCGATTTCATCATTCTATCAGATGTTACCATGCTTTTTCTTGGCCCATTAAAAGAGTTTTTGTTGGCACCTTTGGGTGAAATTCTGAATATCCTGAATCACTTAAAAGTATTTTTCAATCAACTCAATTTATATAATTTCTAGTTTCACAGTAGCTGTAACAGCAAAACCTGCTGATGCTTTGGTTGTTTCAGCCTATATTAAAAGTTATTTTTTTTTTATTCTCGATGCAGTCAGGATTTCAGGCATGAGGTAAACTTGCTAGTAAAACTTCGGCATCCAAATATAGTTCAGTTCCTTGGAGCTGTTACTGAAAGGAAGCCATTAATGCTCATTACTGAATATTTAAGGGGGGTAAGTGAATGAGTACATCATCTTGTATTGATGAACTTTTCCACATCAAGGGGTTAACTATCAGCGTCATGTTTTCCTCTAGGGAGATCTACACCAGTACCTGAAGGAAAAAGGTGCACTTAGTCCGTCAATAGCAGTCAATTTTGCATTAGATATTGCCAGGTATTTCAACTTTGTTGTTCTTTTCTTTTTACCTTCAGCGGAGAGCTTCAGACTAAAGTAGCTATAAATTCCCATTTTCATGTGTAGATGATCTTGTGGAAGTTGGATTCTCTGCTTGCCTTGTTAATTGGAAATCTTGCTTCCAGGAATTTGAAACTATTCTTGCAATACTGAGTAGCTACTATAGATTAGCCTTACATTTATTTTCTATCGTCAAACTTTGTCTAGGATTGAAGTCTTGTGCTGAGAAGCAATAGAAAAGGATGTCTGGATGTGTCATGTTTGCTGGATTGGAAAAAGTAGAGAAGTTGATTTGCTTATGGACTTAGAAGAAGTTTAACTTATTCTGGTTATGGAGTGAGGTTGGGGATAGGGTTCAGTTTGCAATTGAATTCCTTCTAGCACTGCAGCAAAGTAGTCTGGCAGTTAACATGTAGATACTTTGGGTGTTTGTTACGATACGCACAGCCTATTGTACTCTTAAGAACATTAATGCGCTATCTGTCAGTAGCTAATGAGGTGTAGTGAGTTCTCTGTGTTTCTCAGTTTGTTCAATGCAAACGTTATGATATCATCGTCAGAAAAAAGCATTCTCAGATTGACACCAGGCAGTGTAATAATTTTTTGTGTAATATTTTGATGCGTTTTATAAATCATGTGGGCAGAGGCATGGCTTATCTTCACAATGAACCAAATGTCGTGATTCACAGAGATCTAAAGCCAAGGTGACTCTATTTATCTAGTTTCATATTTACATATACATATTTTGTTTGCCAATTAGTGAGCTTCTGCACCTTGCAAAGTGTCTCTTGCGTTGAAGCCCATCTTTCCATTTGGCTTTTTCGATTTAAATCACAAAGAGCTGCCTGCTGAATTTTCTTTTCAGGAATGTTCTGCTTGTGAACTCTAGTGCAGACCATTTAAAAGTTGGAGACTTTGGCTTAAGTAAACTCATCAGGGTTCAAAATTCACATGATGTGTACAAAATGACTGGAGAGACCGGAAGTTGTAAGTACCATTTTAAGTCTCTCAACGTGACAAGTTCATCTATGGATAAAGTATTATCTAATTTCTTTTTTGTGTAAACAGATCGGTACATGGCTCCTGAAGTATTCAAGCACCGAAAGTATGATAAGAAGGTTGATGTGTTCTCCTTTGCTATGATACTATATGAGGTAACTTCTGTTCATTATCTTATCCAGAAAAATACTCATGCAACATACGCATCTATAATAGATTGAGTAGTGTGCTTGACGAATGTTGCAGATGCTTGAGGGTGACCCACCACTTTCACATTATGAACCGTATGATGCTGCTAAGTATGTTGCAGAAGGACACAGACCTATGTTTAGGTCAAAGGGCTTTACTCCTGAATTGAGAGAGTAAGTAAACTCTGCGACTCTTGGTGTTGGGGATGTTTTAACTTTAGTGTATCATGAAGTTTCTTTAGCATTAGGGATGCTGCATTTGGATGGCGTTGTTTTTCTTTTGGTTCCTTATATCTGTTGTATTATCTTTGCTCAGGTTGGTTGAGCAATGCTGGGCAGCAGATATGAATCAGAGACCCTCTTTCTTGGAAATTCTGAAGAGGCTGGAAAAAATTAAGGATAATCTGCCTACGGATCATCACTGGCACCTCTTCACTTCGTAGCATCCTATCCTAAAAGATAATTGGATGTGAAAATCACAAATTTTATCAGCGAGCTTCCCAGTTCACCCCACACATGCAATCACGCAGAAGGGGTTGTGAATGGACTTAACGAGGTTTCAGGAGTTCTGCTGTCACCAATTCTTTTCCATACTGTGGATTTTGGTTTTGGGAGATGGACATCTTCGCTAGATATCTGAATTAATATAGTTGCAAATCTGAACTTGGTCTGGAAATATTCTAAGCTAGCTTGGTGAAAGTAACATCTTGTATGCTATACTTTGGTCTGATTTCTTAAGCCAGTGTTTGTTATAAATTGTGGTTGTAGATGATCAAAGCATGCATGTAGGCATTGTTCTTGTCTCCCCCTCCTTTCTTTCAACTCTTGTGCAAAACAGAATTGTAATGTAATCTGCAAAAATAGTTTGAATGTTATTTTTGTTGTTATGTTGTCGTTTTGTAATGTAGTTTACACATGCTTGATCGCGACGCGTGACGATGGGTGCCTTGCATAAATAAGCAACAAGATGTAATTCACGAGACAAAAACAGGAAAACGGCCCTATTTGCCCGTGCAACATCTGTATTTTGAAGATTATTGAGGATCCAACATCTCGTCATATCAATTCATAGCGTTCCTGTTTTCAACATGTCCAAAATTGTACACGAACAAGTTTAGTTTGCAACTAAAAAGCGCCTATAAAAAACATTATATTAGCTTCTTCTTCTCAAAGAACGTCTTCAGATGCCATAACTGCAATCCTCCAACGGACAAGGCAATAACAATTGAGAGAAGACTCAACCAACCCATCTTCGCGTTGGTAGATCTGTTAAGCTCCTGCATCTCTTCTTCCCTGAAACAAGTATAAGATGACTGTCAGGACATAAAAACATTTTTGAGCAGAGATAATGACGATATGAACACACCACTATGAGAAATATTTTACATTGACGTTAATGAGAATATGTAAACCCACCTTTCTCGCAGGTAGAACATCTCGTCATGAATGGATTGAACAGTATCAAACATTTTCTTCAGCTCTAACTCCATTAACTGGCATTGGAAGGAAGAAAAATGAAAATCATTATGCATAATATCCATAGTAGCATGTGAGTTCTGTTTACAAGTGTTGCTATGCAAGTACATGCAATATTCTTCAAACAAAATTATCTTCAAATCATCCAAAATTCTCAAACCACTACTTAAACAACCTAAAAATCTCTACAGAAAAAAAAAATTCTCTAATTGCTAACCAAGTGACATACTAGGGCCATAGGTCATGAAAGAGGTTGTCCCCATCAGGGGCCATTGCAAGGGCAAAGAGAGCGATCAAAGTAGTTGCAGATGATAGAGAAATTATAACCAATCAAATCATGAACGCAGACTATACAGAACCGCTAGTCAATATTCTCATCCAAAAGAAAATTTAAAATTGCACCAAGTTAGTCGCGACATCTAAAAAGCATTTTATCCCTAGAAAGTGCCATGTAAAAAAAGACACCGAAACTCCTCGTTTACAGGATAGGGCAGGCAGGGAAAACAAAAATACCTCAAATACGAGGTACTGCTAATTCCAGCTATTATATCTTAAAGAACTTATTTCTGGGCACACCATATACCCAATATGATCAATGTTAAACTCCACAAGTGAACAGTACTACCCTAGTATTGACACGACTGCAGCACGTAAAGGTGCATATTTTTCTTTGCCTTTATGTCATTCTCAATCTGGTAACAGCTTGCGACTAGATTAAAGACGAGCCCTTGTATGACATCACAAAGAAAATCAATCAGGGGTACAAATTGAAGAATGCTCAGAAGAGTTGGTTTAAGAGAGGTATTCTTTATGGGTGTGCACCTCTATGTTTATATGGAAGGTCAGGGGGGATTACTTGGCATGTATCAAAACACGGTTCAAAAACATTTGGAAGTTAAAGAATACTGGAACAGTAAAATTATTTCTAAAAGAGGAATATTCACTTTTCAATCATCTCTCCTTAAAAATTTACAGTATCTTAAAGATACACAAAGCCTCATGTAAATTACTGCATGATAATCATTTATTTGTTAGCAAACGAAACCAGTTTACAATATTTTTTCTATTATGCTTCTTTGAAAGTAGGGGACTCCATTGGATAATTAATAAAGTGAACACCTTTTGTGTGTTCACAATACTTTTTTTAAAATTTTCTTTTATTTTAGCAGAGGATAGTGGGATTTAAGAAGCAGGAAGGAATGGGATTATGCATAAATGTTGTTTACAACACTGACCCAACATTTATGCATAAAACTCTGTCTCTGTGTCTACCACACCCAGTTACTGCTTTGTTCCTTTGCCAATGATCAAAGATCTTAACAGAAAAGGCTATTCTCAAATTCATCATTATCTAGTCCATACGTAAATGGACGCCACTTTTTTAAACAAAAGCCACCTCCAACAGGGAAGCTATACTCTCCCACTGAAGGACTTGTAAGCTGTTACTTTCCTTGATGATGAGGTGCGACAAAGGTGTTCGAAACTTGCAGTAACAAATGCACTAGATTTACCAACACAAAAGCAAACACAAGCCAAGGAGAATCTTAGGAAAACATCTGCTTGCTTCCTCAATTCCCTCAGGAAAAAAAATCATGGCCACTGGCAAAAAACAGTCCAAGCGAATGATCCAAGTACAATACTTCATTAGGCATGAAACATGGCTCAAATACAATTCAAGACTATTAAATCCCCCACTCATGTTATCAATACAAAAGAAAAAGCACTTTTGTAAATCTGATACTTACTTCAACAGAACCTTTCTTCGCAACATTTGACCAGTCCTTCGCTGCGACACCAGACTTCCAATCAAAATCAACGGTGAGCGTAACAGCAGGCTTGTGATCAGCTGCAAAAAAGCAAGCCATGTAATCCCCAGCCTCTGCAGTCTGAAATGCAAACTGCCCTGTATTGACATGGTCCGCATAGTGGTAGTTATTCCCATAACCTGATGTAACCTGTATCAAACAACCAGAAAAATACATCAAAGAAATTTAAAAAAAAAAAAAAAAAAGACCTTGATGTCCACTTAAACACAATATTTAATACTAGAGGCAACGGAATCTTTGGACAGAACCCATCATAGTCTTCGTTCAGTAACCCATCAAAATCCATCAAAATCAAATCTTTAACCAGCCAAACACAAATGCTGAATAAAACAACAATCAAATTCACTAAATCCCTTGCTTTCTTCGCATAAAAAATAGCAAAGAAAAAAATAAATTCAGCTATACTAATCAACCAACTAGCCTAAAGCCTTTAAACATATATGCAGCAAATATTGAAAAATATAAACAAGCATGTGAAACACATAATTAAACCGAAACAGACAAAAATAAATAAAACCCAGAAAAAATAGGACTTTGATAAATTACCCTAACGGTGACTTTATGAGAATCAGGTAAGGGCTGGCCTTCATTTGGGTTAACAATATGATATTTGCCGACGGTCATGGCGTTTGACTGAATATCTTCAGCTATGCATTTAGTATGACCCGAATCCAGATCGAATCGGATTGATTGAACCGGAGTTGAGATAATAGTCAGGACTAATAGGAATATACAAAAATTAAATCTTTGAGGATAACTACAAAGCTCCATATCTTTTGATCAATTCTAATAAGGTCAATTCAGATTCCAGTTGATAAAGCAGGATTTGGGAAGAGAAAGATTTGTGATTGTGGTGGGGGGGCTCGATGAAGACGAAGATGATGAAAATTATTGGGCTGAAAATAAAAAGGAAAAATTTTGATTAGGATTGGAGAAAGAGGAGAAATCGCATAGACAGAGAAAGGCAGGAACTGGGCTGGTGAAGGCTTGTAGCAAAGATCAGATTCGGCCTTAATTCAACATTTACTTGATATTTCTTTCGTTCTCAGATTTATCTTAAAAACGGGTTAAGTAGATTCGTTTTATAGTAAAAACGGGTACATTACCTTCGCCCACATCCCACAAGAGGGAAAGCGCAGAGTGTGGACCAAATTCGGAACTGATGCCCGAAAGACAAAAGCAGTAAAGTAGGAAAGACTGAATAAGGATGAGTTTGATGCAATTGAAATCTGAAGTTTGAAATCTAAAATTTAAATATATTAAGTTATTGAATTATTTAATATTAAATTTAATACATTTGAGTGCATATTATATTCAATAATTAGTGAATAGTTTATCACTTAATTTTATGAATAAGTTTTGTCTAGAAAATTTAGTGCCATTTAATTAATTCAAATGTTTAATTTTTTGTTATCAAACAGTTTGAATATGTTAATATCTGAATCCATTAAATTTAAACGATGAATTGAGTTATCAAACATGGTCTAAGTAGAGTTAATTAACAGACAAACAAAGGCTTGAATTGATGGTTACCTCTTTTCTCTCCTTATGGGTTTGTTTGAATTGTAGATTATTTACAAGTAAAAGTGTTATATTATATTTTTCAAAAAAATATCTCAAATAATCTAATACCATGAGGCAAAAATGATGGGAGGTTAAAACAAGGAACGCTTCGGACCCCGACCTTTTTCCCCTGTCATCAAACATTTTTATAAAGAAAGATTTAGAGAGAAATAAAACAGAAACGTGACATTCATGTGGTACGTAGCTAGACATTAAGCCACTTGAAAGAAAAAGTCTCATATTAGTAGGATTTAGATAGAGTATTATTTGAAATAATTATTGTAACACTTTTTGTAATGTGATATTTATGAAATAAAAAAAAATATTGAAAATATAAAAGAATTGGTTAAAAAATCTATTTATGATACAAGCGAAATATGATTTGAAATAATGAGATATCCAAACCGATTGAGTCTGCAGCCTTTTTTTTTTTTTATTTTTTTAATTTAATTTCATGTTCTTATTCATAAGAGTGAACAAGATAAATGCTTATACCATGGGGGAAACGTCAACTGCAAATTCAGCCCAAATCCATGTATTTATAGTTGCTTCCTCGAATATGAAGATCTACTGACCTCAACTCAAAACCAAATGCCACCTCCGCCAGTGTGATATATCTACTGAACTTTTCAAGTTTGCAGGCGCAAATAAAATTTAGACATTTGCTGATTATTATGGTTGCAATAGCAGTATTAGTCTATTAGTTAATATGTCTAAAGAAATGTCAAAATGCGATCCCTGTTTACTCTCCTCTTGTTCAAGAGATGCATAGGCTATAGGAAAAAAGAGAGATGTATAGACTATAAAAAATTCATTTAAAAATTCTAGTACTTGTTTTATTGACCAAAAAGATAATAAAAATTTTGTTGACAAAAGAATAACGAATAAGCAGAAGGTAAAAGGCTTACCTTTCTTTCTCTCATCTCCAAGATGGGGAGGCTTATTTTCCCAGCTATCTATTTGTCAGTGTTAGATTAATAAAATAATTTCTCCTTTTTCTTTGGAAGAGTAGGGATAAGACTAGAGAAAAAGTAGAAAAAAAAATTGTAATTACCCTATCAAATTCAAATCTTTGTACAATTCTCTAATGCTTGAAAGGATAACAATTTTTAAGGATGAAAACAGTTTACTTTAGCTTTTAGCTGCTCCAAAAAAAAAAAAATACTTTAGCTTGTAGCCGAAAAATAGTTTCTAACACAACGTCATTGATAAGTCCAAAATCATAGAATTAATTTATTTTTGTACGTGTTTATTTAACAAGAATAAAAATTTCAACAGTTTCGTTCTTTCTAAAATGGTCAATCTCTATCTTTGAAAGCCAGATGCTGCAAATTCTTTGGGCCACAGAGTTGAAACTAAGGAAAACATTCCACTTATATAAAACTTTCTATAGAAAATGTCCCATACATAACTAGGGATGACAGCTACTTTAGTGTCGAAATCTTCTGATCAAGAAATGGTAACAAAGAAATGAAAGTTTGACGCATCAAAGAGCCCTTTGCCCAATTAATATTATTGTTAAATCATTAATTATGTCGGTTGAGGACTTGAGGGGTGTGTAGACTCTCAGCAGTTGCAAATATAATTAACTATACGGTAAAAAATAAAAAAATCCCCATGATAAACCTAATATACAGAGAAACCTCCCGTGGTTTTAAAACATACAACACGACATCCTATACTTTAAATTAAATTGTAAAGGTGACGGAATCCGTTAAATTTAACGGAAATGGACGAAATGACCAAAATATCCTGATATATTTAAGCAAAAGACGGCCCAAAAAAATCATTTGTTTTATTCTCTAGATAGAGAGAATTGAGAGTTAAGGAGTAGAATAGATATATTTGTTAAAAATTAGGTATAAAATTTTTTTCTTAGATTCCAATAAGTCATTTCCGTTAAGTTTAACGGATTCCGTCATCTTTACAATTTAGTTCAAAACATGATGTGTCATGTTGTATGTTTTGAAACTACGAAAAATTTTTCTGTGTATTACGTTTACCACATGGGATTTTTTCGTTTTTTATCCTTAACTATACAGTATTAATTCTGCTATGGCTGACTTTTTTTTTCTATATTTGTTGTTTTGGACTTGAATATGATAATCCCTTAAACAGGTGAAAGAACATTCTCGTTTCTTAAGTATGTGTATACATCATTTTTTTTGTATATTTATTGTGTTAGCATACACAATTATTGTATTAGTAGAGTCATTGTACTCTGTCTCTCCCATTTTGATAGTTCTAGTTTTTCTTTCACGCAGTTTAAGAAAAAGTAGTTAACTTTGTTAAAAAAATAAATTTATGTTGCTATTTTTCTAAAATACCCAAATATTAAATAGAGTACAACTTTATATTAATTATTCACGAAAACTTGAATTGATGATTTTATGGGAACTTAAATTGATAAGTCAAGAAATAATCAATCCTCATTTTACATTATTTCACATTAAATTTAAATGTATTAAATGGGGTAGGTTAACAATCTATATTAAATAAAGTAGTTTATACTAATAACAACCTACATTGAATAAGGGTATTTTAGATAAATTGAAAGATAACTACATTCTTCAATTGGAAAGTGGACTACAATTTGGGACAGACGAGAAAGGAAAACAATATTATCAAAGTGAAATGGAGGGAGTTTATTATGATTGCAACTCAAAGAAGGCACTTAATGCCATCATCCTACGGTAAGTCGACTTATACAACTTTGAATTGTACTATGGTATTTGTCAATTTCTAAAGTTAAATGACAAATCTTATTTTTCTATTTTGTCATCACTAATGGCAGAACCTAGCATATATATAGCTTGGACAAGGATTGGCCTCGATATTTGGAACAATTCTCACCTTCATTAATTTATTAGTTATCTGGAAATCAAATTTATTATTTCTTTCATAATATTTACAGATATTCCTAATCTTTAGAAAAATTCAAAAGTGAACCCTCGGCATTGAAACTGGTGACAGATCTTTCTCAAGTAATTAAAACAAACATATCACATATTTCAACCCTAGAGAAAAGATAGAAGCTTGTCCAAAAACTAGAATATGTTGAGGTGAGCTTACTATTTTTAGTGGATTGGTTATCCAAATATACTACTTTCATCCCAACCCCAAAAGAATGCATAGTAGAAGTGACGGCCAAACTTTTTATGGGTCATATCGTCAAATATGATCAACAACGATTGGAAGTGACTGAAACTCACGGTTCATGGATAAGTTCTGGACAGAGTTATTTCGTTTTCTTGATTCAGGGCTCAATATGTCAACGACAATGCACCTGCAAATGGATGGGCACACAAAATGTGTGAATAATGTACTAGAGGTCTACCTTTGGCACTATTTGATAGTGAATCAAGCAGATTGGACAAAATTACTTGGCGTTGCCCAATTTTATTTCAATTTGCAAAGAAACGAGAGCACTAGCAAAAGCTCGTTTGGGATCGTACTTGAATTTCAGCCAATAACCGCGAAAGATATTGTTAATGGCTACAAGGGTGCTAGTCTTCCCCTCTATTGATTTGCCAAGAATTGGCAAGAATGAGCGGACACAACCAAACTATACTTAGAGAAGGCCTAGCAACGGATGAAAAAATGGACCAATCATAAGCACATGTTCCACGAGTTCAAAGAGGGGAACCAAATATTGGTAAAACTCTATCAACACGAACGTATTCGTGGGGTGCACAAGGATCTCATGCGATGATACGAGGAATCGTTTACTGAACTAAAAAGAGTGAGAAACATAACCTATAAGGTGGAGTTGTCCGAAACATTATCCCAACTCCATCTGGTCTTTCATGTCAATCTACTCAAACCGTTCTATCAAGACTTGCACAATCCATCAAGGAGCATGTCAACGAGGGCACTTGCGGATATAAGGGATAAGTACGACAAGATTGTCTAGGAGATCGTGGCCGATCATATTATTTGGCACAAGAATCACGCACCATCAAAGAAGCACTTGGTGCGATGGTGTGAGCTACGGGAATTCGAGATTAGTTGGGAGCTGGTCGAAAAGTAGTAGAATTTGGGGAGTTTATTCGGACGTTTGAACCTAGTTAAGGCATTAGGGACAATGTCTTATTCAAATAGGGGAGAATGACACAGATCGCACACCGATCACGTGCACCCGCCCCAGGCTGGCCAGACACTCTGTTTTCAAACTCGGACCGGACCGGCCGGTCGAACCGGGAACCGGCCAGGTAGCCGGTCCGAGTCAACTTAGAAAACCGGGAATTTTAAAACCCGGTCAAAGCCGGTCAAAATCCGGGTTTGACCGGGAAAAAACCGGTTTTTCCGGTTTAACAGTAATTTTTTTAAAAAAAAAATTCAAACTTTATAATATTATGTTTTGACCCCCTAAATTGTTAAAACTTATTCGTATACCTCAAATATTTGATACTTTATAAATATTGTCCTACAATTTGATGTTATTTTTCAATTAAATTCATAATTTTA